TGTTGAACAACTATTTCGGTTATTTTTATTAATTTACAACAAAAAAAGTGCAAATTTTTATTATAAACTTAAGAATTGCTATTGAATTTTAGTGTTCTTATAATTCGTTAACATCTGATTATTTAAATTTTCCAAATAATATTTTTTGAAAGTATGTTTGAAGTAAAAGTTTTCCATTAAAATTTGAATTCAGTTCATCAATCATATAAAACTATGAAAAATTAATTAATTTAACAAATATTTGAAAAAGACAAATATAATAAATATAATAGATTTGTAGTGTACTACGGAGTAACATCACCTCTACATGGTATTATATACTTATATTTATGATCATACCATCCCTATAATTTTACGTTTTACCATTCAGTTACCAATTTCAATATATCCAGTAGTAAATAATAAATACGAAATAGAAAAGATAACAATATGTTGTTACAAAACCGGAAATATATATACCACAAACAATACATGATCCCAGTTCAGATCTACAAGCTTATGCTAAACGAACTCTGCATATACATGTAGTGAAATACAACGACGAAGTTTCTATATAAAAGTGAAACAACAAATAATGGACACCACTAAAATCTAGTTAATCATAAAAACACTGTTTTTGTTTTCACTAAAGAGTCTTTTCTTATTATATTTTTTGCAAGGGCTTCCTATATACTCTAATAAATTATGCAGTGAGCAGGTTGCTAATATTCTATCGTTCATTCATGTTATTTTTCTGAGAGGTGATAAACAAAAGGAAGGAGTAGCTTATAAATCTTTTTTAATATTTTTCAAAACCTTTTAAAAACCTTATAAAAATTTTATAAAAGCTTTGTAAAACATTATAAAAGTCTAGTAAACCCTTTTAAATAGTTTTTAAAAACCTTAATATCAGTTTAAACACCTTATTAAACCTTGTAAGATCTTTTAAATATGTTGTAAAACTTTTTAATATTTTTCAAACCTTATGAAAACCTTGCAAAAGCCTTATGAAATTTTTATAAAGCCTTGTAAAACCTTATAAAAGCCTTATAAAACTTTTTAAATAGATTTTAAAACCTTAATATACATTTAAAAACCTTATAATACCTTCTAAATACATTGTAAAACCTGTTAATTACTTTTCAAAAAAAAAAAAACCTTATAAAATGTTTATAAAAGCCTTGTAAAATCATATAAAATCCTTGTGATGATAATGATTTTACAAGGTTTTTACGCACAACTATTTTGTAACCATTTAAATTATACAGGAGGTTGTTTACAAGGTTTTTATATGATTTTTATATATTTTTATAAGGTTTTATAAAGTTTTTATAAAGTTTTATAAGGTTTTTATAATGTTTTAAAAGAATTGACAAGATTTTTATAAGGTTTTTATAAAGTTGTAAATACCTTTTAATACGTTATAAAACCTTTTAAATACTTTTTTAAAACCTATTAAAACCCTTATGAAAATAAAGGATAAAGTTTTACAAAATTGTCCATATATGCATTCTATGATCAAAATTGATGACATATGCTTTTATATAAGTAAAACCCTATTATATCCCTAATTTTTTAGAAATCTTATAAAATTTTAAAAATATTTCTTAAATTGATTAAATTTTTCTATTTTTAATTTTTTTTGGATAAATATATAGGGTAAGAAAATATTTTTATAGTTACATAACTTGCTGGATTTATTATATGTACATAGTACTTTCTTTGTGAGTTGTAGTCTTTCTAGTTTATAAGAATATTAAGAACTTGAGATTTAACAAAGAATTGCTCTCTTTATTATGCTTTAGAAAACTTACTCAAAAACTAAAGCTCTCAAGATCTCTCTAATCTCTCTTAAGGTTTACCGCAACTTTGGCAACTCTTATATAGAAAACACCTTCATCATTATCCTAATCTAAATAGGAAATATCACAAGTCTAGATAACTCCTAAACTATATTTCCTAATTCCATATCTCGGTTAGATTAGGATAACTTCCCGCATAAGTAATCTCTTACTTCAAGCTTACGCCAACAATCTCCCCTTTAAGCTTGAAGTCGTTTTTCACCAAGTCCTCAACACCAATGAATGCCCTCATGAGTTTGAACTTGTCTCTTCCTAAAGCTTTAGTAAGAATGTCCGCCTTTTGCTCATTCCCGGGAACATACTCAACTTCAATCTGGCCATTCTCCACACACTCCCTTATGAAGTGATATCTCCTATGAATACGTTTGCTTCTTCCATGAAAAACCGGGTTTTTAGTGAGAGCTATAGCTGACTTATTATCCATTAAAAGAACAACCTTCTCACTAGATGACCCGGTGACTTCACTTAGCAAATCTTGAAGCCAAATAGCTTGTCGAGCAGCCTCAGTCCCGGCCATAAACTCAGCCTCGCAAGAAGACATTGCGACCGTAGCTTGTTTATGCAAACACCATGAAATCGGACTATCCCCAAGATAGAAGATATTATCAGCCGTTCTTCTTCCGTCATCGGGATCAACATTATGGCTACTATCAGTATAGCCTATTAGCTTTGGAATCCTTCAGATCGACCTTTTAAATGTCAAGCCAAGAGTTGTTGTTCCTCGGAAATATCTTAAGCACATCTTCATTGCAGCTCCATGAGTGTCTCTTGGACTATGCATGTACCTACTCAAAATTCCAACACAAAATGATAAATCGGGTCTTGTATGAAGTAAGTACCGAAGGCAACCAACTCGCTTTCGATAGGTCGTGGCATCGATCTCATTTCTCTCCTCAGACTTAGACAGTTGTAGACCGGACTCCATTGGCGTATGAACCGGATTGCAACTTGTCATCCCTGCATCTTCTAATATCTTAAGAGCATAGCGATGTTGATTCAAAACTATTCCTTGCTTTTGTTGATCAACCTCAATTCCAAGATAATATGTGAGCTTACCAAGATCACTCATCTCGAATTTTGATGACATCTCTCGCTTAAACTCGTCAATGATTAGAAGACTAGTTCCGGTCACAAATAAGTCGTCGACGTACACGGCAATGATTAGAAGACCATTTCTCCCTTCCTTGCGATACACGGATGGTTCTTTTGAGCACTTCTTGAACTCGAGCTGTAAGAGAATCTGGTTAAGTTTATTATTCCAAGCTCTTAGTGCTTGTCTTAACCCATACAAAGCTTTGTTGAGCTTGTAAACTTTGCCTTTTTCTCCTATTACTTCAAAACCCTCAGGCTGCTTAACATGAACAATTTCTTTTAGTTCGCCATGCAGGAATGATGTCTTAACATCAAGATGATGAATTTTCCAGCCATTAGTTTCAGCCAAGTTGACAAGAAGTCGTAAAGTTTCGATTCGTGCAACAGGAGCGAACACTTCTTCGAAATCTATCCCATAGCGTTGAACGTATCCTTTTGCAACGAGTCGAGCCTTGTGCTTGTTGATACTACCATCGGAGTTCTTTTTCAACTTGAATACCCATTTTTAACCAATTGGTTTCACATCTTCTGGACATTCAACAAGATCCCACGTCTGATTCTTCTTGATTGATTCGATCTCATCTTCACAGTCAAGTCTCCATTCTTTAGTTTCCTTTGCTTCTTGAAAACTCCTTGGCTCATTATTCAAACTTAACAGTAGCATCTCGCCCTCTTCAATGGCCGTTATCATCAATGCATAATCATCAAGATATTTAGGCTTGTTAGTTTGTCTTACCGGTTTTCTTATTGCAATGGGTAGATCAAGGTCTGAATAGTACTCTCCTTCTTCTTCTTCCTCGCGTTCATGACCAGCCATGTTTTCTTCTTCCTCGTGTTCATGCCCAGCAGTGTCTTCTCCCTCAAGCATGTGTTCCTGATCACCACGAGTCATATCAAGCCCGTCTTGCTCTTCTTGCCCTTCGTGTTCTGTTTTGGTAACCCGATTTTCTTCCTCTATCCCATGGTTTCCAAATTCTCCAATTTAGAGGCTAAAACTCCCACAGCTTTCGTTTTCCGGATCACTATATCTCCAGTTCCATCCCTTTGTTTCATCGAAAACGACATCTCTACTCACCACAACCTTTCTTACTTGTGGATCAAGAAGCCAGTACGCCTTAGACCCTGGTTCTATGCCGAGATGAATGAGAACTCTTGATCGATCATCCAATTTTCTTAGATGAGGCTTGTCCACCTTTGCATAACAAACACAGCCAAAGATCCGAATATGATCAATTCTTGGCTTCTTATTCTTGAATGCTTCATAGGGTGTTTGATTCTTAAGTGCTCGTGTTGTTATGCGATTCAAAAGATATGTTGTGTGCCTCACTGCTTCTCCCCACAAGTAGTTAGGTAGTTTCATATGCTTCATCATACTTCTAGTCATCTCCATCATAGTTCTAATTCTTCTTTCAACCACTCTGTTCTGATGTGGTGTGTAAGGAGCAGTTAGATGTCTTTGATTCCATTGTCATCACAGAAAGTGTTGAATTCTTGGCTTACAAATTCTCCTCCCCTATCTGTTCTGAATGTTTTGGTTCTAACTCCTGTTTCTTGCTCAACCATGTGTTTGAAAATCTTGAACTTATCAAACGCATCACTTTTCTCCTTTAACAAGATTGTCCACATGTACCTAGAGTGGTCATCGATCAAGACAAAGATGTACTTCTTTCCAGCAAACGTGCTTGGCGTTATAGGACCGCAAAGATCTCCATGTATTAACTCAAGAATTGTGTTAGCTCGAAATGTCGTAGCTTGAGGAAATACTTGCCTTGCTTGCTTGCCAAGTAAGCATGAACCACACACTTCTTTCTCAAATTGCACTTGTGGGACTCCTTGTACAAGTGCCTTTTGAAACATGGATCTTATGGTGTCGAGATTTGCGTATCCAAACCTAGCATGCCATCTATTTGATTCACTAATCCGTGTGAGATTGAGACCGTCTTTGTCTTTTATCGCCATATGAACTTTGTATAAACGATTCCGGGCTCTCTCGGCCTTGACTAGAAGTTTTCCATCGTGATCATGCATCGTCAAAAACTCTCCTTTCATTCTAATGTCACAACCTGATTATGTGGCTTGTCCTAAGCTGATGATGTTGCTTCTTAAGTCCGAGATGTAGTAAACGTTTGGCATTGTCCTCGGTTCTCCATTCATGTCAATGAAAGCAATCGAACCCTTTCCTTTGATATCAATGCGTGAATCATCTCCAAAACGTACTTTTCCTGCAATCATATTGTCAAGTTTAGTAAAATATCTCCTATCACCCGTCATGTGATTGCTTGCTCCGTTGTCGAGGTACCAAATATACTCATTGTTCATGGTTGTGTCATAATTGCTGGGTAAGCAATTTTTCTCATTCAAGTATACAACCTCGTGAACCATAAGTTGATCTGCTTCTTCCGTGTTGTTGGTCTCATCCTCTTGTGTTTCTTGCAACTTAAGGAGACGATCGGGACAGCTTGATGCATAATGACCAAGCTTGTCGCAGCGGTAACACGTTACTTTCGAAGTGTCTCTGACCCCATTATAGCGTCCACCACGCCCTCGTCCTCTGTTCCGTCCACCTCCTCGTCCTCTGCTAGCATTAGAGTCGCGGTTTTGATATGATTGAGAGTCCGAATTTGCATACATCAACTTGCCTTGGTCCTCTTGATTCTCTTCTTCCTCAAAAATACGTTCTTCATACGCCTTTATTCTACCAATAATGTCCTCAAGACTTGTAGTGTTAAGGTCTAACACTTGTTCTAGTGTTGCAACTATATGAATGTATTTTCTCCGAGGAAGACACTTGAGAAATTTCTTGACCAATTTGGGCTCTTCAATGGTTGTACCCAAGGAAGCAGATTTGGAGGAGATTTCAGCTAGTCGACTAGCAAGATCATCAACCTTCTCGTTGTCCTTCATCTTGAGGCGTACAAAGTCAGACATCAAGGTTTGTAACCTAGCCTCTTTGACTCGATCAGCACCAACATATCTAGTTTTGATTGAATCCCATATCTTCTTTGCTGAGTCGAGTGCACCAACTTGTAAAACAAGTGTTTCGGGAATTGATTGGAACAGCAAGGCGATAGCCATATTATTCTTCTCTTTGTTCTTCTCGGCGTCGACCTCATCACCATCGACGAGAACGGCTTCTGCTTCTACGATCTCCCACACCTTGTGAACTTTGAGAGTAATCATCATCTTCATGGCCCATACTGTATAATTGGTTGTTGTAAGCATAGGACATGAGATCGATGAAGTTCCTCCACCATCACGAGGTTTGTTTGTAGCAACAACTATGTCACCCATTGAGATCACACACAAGCTCTGATACCAAATCTAGTTTATAAGAATATTAAGAACTTGAGATTTAACCAAGAATTGCTCTCTTTATTATGCTTTAGAAAACTTACTCAAAAACTAAAGCTCTCAAGATCTCTCTAATCTCTCTTAAGGTTTACCACAACTTTGGCAACTCTTATATAGAAAACACCTCCATCATTATCCTAATCTAAATAGGAAATATCACAAGTCTAGATAACTCCTAAACTATATTTCCTAATTCCATATCTCGGTTAGATTAGGATAACTTCCCGCATAAGTAATCTCTTACTTCAAGCTTACGCCAACAGTCTTGGTTCATCATTATTTGCTGCGTTTATTATTGGTACGTAATAGTCTTCGTTCACGTCTGTAGTAAATTAACAAAACAAACATATTACATGTTATTTACAATCTCATGTTGTTGATGTGGCAAAACACCAAATGTTATAGTACTCAAACGTAAGATTTAGAGGTGTCGCTCTGTGTTTCGACGTCATAATCTAATTCAGTATAGTTGTAGTTGTATACTTGTATCTCTCTAAATTTAACGTGTAATGTGTTTCTTAGGTTGATTAGTCTTTATTTTTTCTTTGATATGCATGAATTGTATAGTTTTTTTTCGCTCATGTCAACTAAATATGGCTGTTTTCGTATAATGTACTATCTATGTTTAATAGAATATAGGAAACATGTAAGAATATGCATTCTAATAAATTTAGAACATGAGTAAATGCTAGAAAATATATTCTAAATTTTGTAGAAGAAAGAAGAAACTATAGAACAAGTATTCTAAATTCCATAGCAATTAGTATTCTAAATTTCATAGCAATTAGTATTCTTAGTTTCGTAGAACATAAAGGACTTCTAATTTTGTAGAACATGTAGAATTTGTATAATACATAATCTGTATTTTATAGAACATGTACAGTATATAGAATACACATTCTACAGATTGGAATATGTATTCTAAACTTTGTAAATCAAATTTTATCCATCCAAAACCTCAACAAAAACAATATATTTTAAATTTTTTTATGTATCCTCGTGCCTTCATTGTCATTTCTTTACTAATTGTTCTTAGAAAATTGATTAAACCTATTAGAAAGGGTAGTTTAAGAATGTTTGACATTTATTTAGAACGCATATACATAAACAAATTTGTAAAAATTTATCCTCTAATTCCAATTATCCCTAATATTTTTATAAAAGCCTTGTAAACTCTTGCCTTTGGTACGTCTTTAAATTGTTTTAAGAGATTTAAAGGGTGTTAAATGTTCTTATAAGACATACAAAATGTATAAAAGGTTTTCAAAGGTTTTATAAGATTTTTTAAAGAGTTTTCTTAAATATTTGATAAGGTTTTAGAAAGACATATCTAAACTCCTCCTTTGGCACATCATTTCCTGACCAGAAACTAAAAGACAAACTAGAGTTTGACAACAACAACAACAACAAGAGCAACGACACACATAATTCAAAAACCAATAAAAAGCAAAAGCACACGACACAAACTGGTGATGATCAAATTAGAAACCTCCTTCGAAGGTTACTAGTGTTGGGATAAGCTTGAAGAAGAAGACTTAGGAGACAAACTACTTATTCCTAGTTGAGTTATGACTTAAGGATTAGATTGTGTTTAGGAGTTATCTACATACAATTCCTATTAGAATAAGGACTATCTCTTCTCTATATATATGAGTTATCAAAGTTGTGGTAACCTTAAGAGATTAGAGAGAGATTAAGGGTTTTAGAAGCTTAAGTTTTGAGTTATTTTCTTAAGCAAATAAAGAGAGTTATTCTTTAAATTCTTGAATTCATAATCTTTCTCAAAGTCTAGATTTGGTATCAGAGCTTGACGATCTTGGCTTTACACACACGAAAACTAAGATCATCAAACCATGAGTGAGATTGTTCCAACAAGCAACAAGAAGGAGGCTGTCCCCTCTTCTATTCAATGTCCAATGCTAAACAGTACGAACTATACTGCTTGGGCAATGAAGATGAGGTTGCTGTTGCGTGTTCATAAGGTCTGGGATACGATTGATCCTGGATCCACTGATATTGATAAAAACGACCTAGCTAGTGCCCTGATCTTTCAATCGGTTTCGGAATCTCTTATGCTGCAACTTGGACACTTAGACACCACCAAGGCTGTATGGGATGCGATCAAAACACGGAACCTTGGGGCAGAAAGAGTGAAAGAAGCACGACTTCAAACTCTTATGGTCGAGTTTGATAGATTGACGATGAAAGAGACAGACACCATAGATGACTTTGTTGGCAAGCTTTCTGAAATTTCTTCTAAAGCAACATCTCTTGGGGAAAGCATTGAAGAAACCAAGATTGTTAAGAAATTTCTTAAAAGCTTACCAATGCAGAAGTACATACAGATTTCGGCCACCCTTGAACAAGTTTTGGATCTCAAAACAACATCTTTTGAGGATATAATTGGGAGAATCAAAACTTATGAGGAACGAATAAGTGCTGCAGAGGTATCACAAGAGAATCAAGGCAAGCTTATGTATGCAAACTCAGAGTCATCATCATCCGGTCATGATCAAGAAGGAGGACAAGGCAGAGGTCGTGGCGGTTATCGAGGCAGAGGAAGAGGTCGAGGAAGGACAAATTACC